AGCACACAGTGGTGCAGTGGGGGGGGTGAGGGGGGGGGAAATGTCTGCAGAGCTTTGGGGCAAAGAATGGAAAATACACCAGCCTTAAAGGCAGAGTCCACTTTATGGAGAGATGAATATACACACCCTTGCTGCAAAAAGAAAAAAACAATTGCATGTACTCATTTTCTGTATTGGAGCGTGCAAAGCAACACGAGCAATGGCCAGACTCCTGCAGACTATTCCTCCAGCCCCAGGTGTGCACAGTATGGACCTTGGGTTATGGAACAGGAGGAAGTTATCAGTGGGGTGACGTCACTCCATTTGTACTGAGATTAGGGCTGAAACTAATCGTTGGCAGTGATTCTCATTATTGATTATTTGATCTGCGCTTTGTCCCCCCTGATCCCCGCTGCTCCCAGCAAGGATCACAGGGGACACAGACCCCTGCAGCTGGTGCCCAGTGGTGAGGAGAGCTCCCCCAAACCTCTTTCCCCCTTCCGCTGCTTCTACCACCACTTCCTCCTCCCCACTGCATGCAGTGATCTGTGTCCCTTGCAATCCCTGCTGATCTCACCCGCCAGGACCGGCAGAGGCAGCAGGGCTCAGCGTAGACGCAGACCGGTGCAGCCGGCACCAGCGAGGAGGAAAGCTTGTTTACACCATGTCCAGACCAGAACAGTTTGTTCCTAGACCAAAAAATGCATCCCAATGTATCCCTATGGTATTTCTGGGCTCTGTTCACACCAGCGCAGTCCGTTCTACACCAGAAAAATACGGCTGGTCTCATTTTCTCTGGTCTGAAAACAACTGAAACGCATCAAAACTGCATGCAAACGCACTGGACGGCACTTCTAAGCCCATTTTAAGCTTAAAGGAGAACTATGAGGTGAGTGCTTTTCACTCTCCTCATAGTTCTAGCCGACCTGTGACAATGAGACTGTCACAGGTCGGCTCAGTAGATCGGGGGGTGAGCGAACATATATCGGCGTTCGCTCACCTCTCGATCCTGTAACAGCTCTCTGCCGTGACAGGGGAGGGGCTCTATTCCCCCCTTTCCGCTCCGATCCGCCAGCGCTGACTGGCGGAACGGACGGGGGAGGGGGCGGGTACAGCTGGCTCTGCCTCTAGATAGGCAGAGCCAGCTGTCACTCACGCAGCTGGGCGGATCCAGACATAATTGTCGGCATCCGCTTCAGCTGCTGCGTCTCAGTATACCGCGAGCTGTAGCTCGCGGTATACGGAGCTTAGGGTGACGGGAGGACGCTAGTTTGTGTCCTCCCGTTACCCTAAGGAGAACTATGGGGAAAAGCCCTAACCCCATAGTTCTCCTTTAAAAAAAATAAAGCGTCAAAATGCAATGCACCGCGTTCCAGATCTGGTCCAGAAAATGGTGGGAACCTGGCCAGAGAGCAGGGGATCAGTAAGTAGGTGACATATTTAGCGATCCGTCCCTGTGAATGTCGGACATATGTAGTGTAACTCCTGCACATGCATCTTGGCTGCAAAGCATGCTGACAATGTACACTGAGCTACACATGGGCAGGTAAGAAACCATCATTTCAGGGGACATAGTAAGGGGAATTTATCAAAACTGGAGCAGAAAAAATCTGGAGCAGCTGTGCATGGCAACCAATCAGCTTCTCGCTTTCATTTCCATATCTTAACTGAACAAACTGAAGAGAGAAGCTGATTGGTTGCCCTGGACAACTGCTCCAGATTTTGATAAATTCCACTGACAATGTCTCTTCTGCAATAAAAATCCTTCCTATTCGAAGGCTTTTCAATTCAGGGCGAAGTTCTGCTGTAAGCACAATGCAGTCTGTGCCGGGTGATATGTGTGGCATCATATGGAGCTGTGCATGGCTTCCTACAGACTTTTACCTGGGAAGATGCTCCCAACAAGTAAAGGAGTCACATCAGGGGTAGGCAACCTTGGCACTCCAGCTGTTGTGGAACTACAAGACTAACTACAAGACTCATGTGGCACTGCAGGACTCTTCCAGCCTCAGGTATGTCTATCAGATGCATAAATGGGATTTGTAGTTTCACCGCAGCTGGAGTGCCAAGGTTGCCTACCCCTAAGTTACAGGGTCCCTGAGATCCTGGACTCACACTTCATACACAAGAAGTGACAGACCGCTGTGATTCAGTAACCCATTGTCACGCTGTGTGTGCTCTGTGTCAAGGAATGCAGTGGGGTGACCTTTGACCCTTCCACCATTGAAGAGTGCTGAGTCTTGTGGTGATTGAATAGTCGCTGTGGCAGGTTGGCTATGTCACATGTTTCAGTAATTAAAGTGTAGCCGTAGCCCCAGGGGTGAACAAATTAATATGGAGTTCAGGAGCCCGCAGGATTTCTTTTAGGAGCCAGCTTCATTGACAACAGCAAGAGTAAACCTGAAAAGTTAGGCGCCAGCGGTAATTTTTAAGGAGCATTGGCGACCTGGCTCCTGGGATTTGTCCCGCCCAGCAATAGCTAAAACATTTTATTTTTGGCAGGAAAGAGTTAGAACTAGGGGTGCACCGATACTCGTACTCGCCCAAATGCTCCGATACCGGAACTTCCGGGTCAGAGGGAGATTTCCTCTGGCCGGCAGTGCCGCGAGGCAACATGGAGCCGGCTTCCGGCCAACCAGGAAGCCGGGCGGCGGGTAATGACTTGCCACCCGGCTTCCTGATTGGCCAGGAAGCCAGCTCCCCTGGCAACCAGCATAGAGCCAGCTACCCCGCCAATCAGCATCAAGCCGGTCAAACAGCATGGAGCTGGCTTCCTGGGATATCAGAATCCTGATTGCAGGGGAAGCCGGCTCCATGATAGCGGAAGTACCGTAATTGTTACCTGGTATCGGCGAGTACCGAAGTATAACAATTGGTACTCGTACTCTATAACGATAAACTGCTATCGGTGCATCCCTAGTTAGAACCTCTGTCAGGTTTTACTGCTTTCTGGGGTAGTAAACCTGACGGGTTCTGATCCTTCATTGTTCTATCCAAAACTAGAAAAAAAAGTTTCTATATACAGTGGTACTTCGGTTCACGAACTTAATTCGTTCCGCGATTCTGGTCACAAACCAATTTGGTCGTGAACCGAATCAAACTGTGATCTCGACTAAAGGAAGCCACGACCATGTGTCAGAGCGGGGAAAATGGCTGCGACTGTGTTCGTCACCCGACACCGAGTTCGCGAACAGAGGCAAAATGTTGCTGAACTTCCTGTTCGCGAACCGAATTTGTTTGCGAACGGAAGCGTTCGTGAACCGAGGTACCACCTGTATATGTAACCTTTTCCCCTGCCACTGATGTATGACAAAAAAAGCGGGCTCCCGTAAGCAGATTGTTCAGCCGATTAGAGGTTTTACACTGGAACTGATTTGGTCAGTGATCACTGCCAGGGTCCCCGAAATGTGCACCACCCATGTTTCCCAGGCTCTGCTGCCCCTCCTGAGAATCTGAGAGCAGCATTGCGGGTGTCAGTGGATAGAGGGCAGCGAACATCTTGAACCTGGATGTGACGATGATTTCATTACTATTCTTTCAGCTGTCACTTGATCTGTGCTTCAGTGGGCTGCAAAGGTGACATTAGGGGTCTAATAGACTTCTAATATCTCCTTCTAGAGAAACCGTCACCACTGAAATGCTATCACTTGGAGGACTTGTGATAACATAGAAGTTGTCCTTTAACCTGTGCAGACTGATGTTGGATGAGTTATTTTAACTACATTTGTTATTTTATATCGGGGGCAGTGAATTCAAAACCAAGGAGATTCAAGGGTGAGTAGAATTTTAATGTAGCAGAGGTCCGAATCGCGGTCCGGACAGAATAGTCACTCAGTCCATGTCAGTACCGCGGTCTGCCATTTTGGCTGCATTCACACCAGCACTACAACGCACAGCTGATGGTGTGTTTCCAGGCACTGCTGTTGTGCCGATCTCGGCGCATTACACTGTTTACATGCACGTGCATGCCCTACAGACACATGTTTATTAGAATCAGATGTCTCCTCTGCCCTCCAATACAGGATGGTGCTCGGTCGCCTGTGTAACCGGCACTCCAGCAAGGTTTTGACACCTCTGAAGGAGGAGAGGCAGAGGAGACATCTGATTCTAATAAACGTGTGTGTAGGGCATGCACATGTATGTAAACAGTGCAATGCGCCGAGATCGGCACAACTGCACTGTGCCAGGGAACACACCATCAGCTGCCGGTGTGAAAAGCGCAGAGCTTCCTTCTTAATTCATCACAAAGCATATCAGGAAACGCACGTTCTAGTGAGGCTCCCCAGCCTATGACTGGACAGTCTCCTATTATCATCTTTCTGTCACTCTGCTCTCTCCTTCTATCAGCATGTTCTTTGTTAGCATATGAGCACTGCAGCATAACCGGCTGGCTAATTGTGCTACTTCTCCCTCTCC